GCCCTTTTATTCCAGATGTTTCTTTACAGGAAGCTGAAAGTCCAACCATCTAATCAATTGGTCTTTATAGTGATTAGCTCCATCCTGAGAGTATGTAGGGCCTCTGTGCTGTCACCTCATCAACATAAACTCATGTTTTTAATGGAGAACAAAAGATACCTTTATCACTTAGGAAATTACAAGGGTTTTACAACCTCAATGTCAAGAACTATGAATGAAGACAAGTATATTTCTTATTTTACATAACATAAAATTGTCACTACATAGTTACTTGACATGAAGGCTTTTTTAAAACAGTTTTATTTCTAACTAGGATTATGAGAGATTACAGAATGATTCACTTCTGTTCTGTCCTAGAACGCAGGAAGATCCATCATCCTCTGCCATATCACCTGCGCAGTCGAAGCATTCAGAAGAATGTGGAACGATGCTGTGAATATAATATGTCTGCAAGTATTAATCAGAGCGGAGGTCATTACCTATTAAAGCAAAATCATGATATGTCTGAGATGAGTGAAAAACTTATAGAATCAAATTTAAATTTTGAAAACCAAAACAAAAGCTGTAACTTAAAGAATTCCATTGAGTTGAATGGAGATAGGACATGCATTGTGCATGCTAACCAAGAACAATTTTACACTGAAATCACATTGCCTGGCAGTACCAAACCCATTAATAAGAAGTCCCAGATCACCCTAGAGAGAGTACATGTATGCACTGAATGTGGGAAAGCCTTTGTGAAGATGTCTCAGCTCACTGATCACCACAGAGTTCACACAAGAGAGAAACCTTATGGGTGCAGTCTGTGTGGGAAAACTTTCAGCAGAAAATCCAGGCTCACCGAACATCAGAGAATTCATTCGGGACTCAAACAGTATGAATGTACTGAATGTGACAAAACCTTCCTCAAGAAATCACACTTCAGTAGACATCAGAAAACTCACATGGGAGAGAAACCTTATATGTGCAGTGAATGTGGGAAAGAGTTCATCAAAAAGTTTTGGCTCATTTGTCATCAGAGAACTCATACAGGGGAGAAACCTATTGGTGCAGTCTATGTGAGAGACCTTCTGTACAAAGTTCTAATCTAAATAAACATCAAAAAA